ACTGAACTTTAAGCAGATAATTATTTAAAAATTATATTTACAAAACCACACGTCTTAACTGTACTTAATTTATTTAAACTTAATGCAAATTTTGTACAAAGGCGGACTTAATGACATGATGCATTATTTTCTCCCAGTCAACCTTCAGGTGATGTAGAATTGTGAAGCGGTAGGTGGAAAGATAATTTATCAAATTTGTCATAGTTCATAGTTTGGTAAATAAAAGATAAGCCAACATTAGATATAACAAAAGTACATAAATTCGTTACTACATATATTATGATATTTACATATATGTCCAGAAGTATACACAATACATACACACAATATAAACATACACATACATAAATTTAATATCATATATAAATAAACAGTCGGGTACGAGCGTTGTGACTGTTTTGCCAAATCAGTTCGAAGAAGTTCGCGTACTTTTGACTTGAATGTAGAGCGGTTTGTGGTCCATCCTGATTTCGGCCTTAATGTAGTTCTAGGTCAAACATTTTAAAACAACTCGACAGCTCTTTATTCATATTTTTTACTGATACAAATTCAACAAGAAGAAAGCTTATATTTTTTTGTAAAGGCCATAAAATTTCTATATTTTTTAAAAACAGAATGAAATTTACTTGCATTATCCCATATTTCATTCTATTGTTTAAATTGATTTTGACACTAAGTATAGGTATTAAGTGTTAAAATGTACATAAATGAAAATATTATACGAGTATTACTACATATCGCAATTTAGGAGGTCAGTTAACTTGTTATGAAAATAAAGAAATAAGTATTTATTCATAGGATATTCGTTAATTGACTAAACCAGAACATAAAACAAGCACTAAGTTGTGAAATATTTAAAGAGACTTTGGAACGTTCATTTTAAATGTTGAAATTATGGATATATGACGTAAATTTAAAATACTAAAAGTTTGAAAAAGAACCTTGTCCCAAAAACAAAAATATTAAATCAACAATTAATTTAACATAGTTAAAGTAAAATTTTCCACCAAAGCTTGCTCTCAGTAAACAGGTCATGTTAGCAAATGTAAGTATACATTTGATAACATGACTTGTTTACTGAGAGACAAAATCGAATTAAGTAATAAAAATATTTCAAGTATAATCTCAATTGTCAGTTTTTTTATCAGTAAATTTCGTATTACATGTGATGACCGACGAACACACTAAACTAATATCTATTAAAATATAATTTGGATCTAGCGTTTGTAGTATGATTGTTGGTTGTAAACCGATAATCATAAGGGCCAGCTCACAGCCTCACAAAAGTTTAATAATTCTTTTGTTGCTCTTTACTGAGTATGAATGACTTTACCAGAGACTTAACCAACCCTCTAATTCTTCAATCAAAGAGCGGCAACGCAGTTGTATCTCTCAAGTTGCACGTCTCCGTGGGCTGAAGTAATGTAACGATGCTGTGACAGCGCTTTTGCGTCGAATTTCAAACGAACTTAGTTTGAAGTCCAGCGCTGTTTCCTTAGAAAATAGCACTGCTGGTGATCGGTATGCTCATTTGACCACTATGCGTTGTGTAGCTTCAAGCATCTGTAAAACTTCGTTCGTACGTTACGTACGTACGTTCACGTTTAGTTCTTGTATTAATATTTAATCTTCTTTTAAAAATTAAAAAATACAATTCCGCACTAGGAATATATATTCTGTGTCGCGGGGGACTTTACAAACATACATGAAACGGACACAAAGGACACCAAGACTCAGAGCAATAATTTGTGGATCACACAAAGTGTTGTCCCATTTCGGGATTGACGCCACGACACTTGCACTGCACGGATGGCGTTGTGGTTTAAGTGGCCACCTCGCCGCTTCCTATTGCATTAAGTGTCGTGGTTTAAGTGTAGTTCTTAGTTCTAGTTCTTAGTCATAAATTAGTGCCAGGTTTAATTCTGTGGACAAGACTGAGATAGATGATGATGTAGTAGCGTTTTAACAATAAAATATGCGAAACAAGGTGCTTTTGTCATGTCGAGTTACTACATCATATTGGTGAAAAGGTCCATAACTTTTTTTTAAATTATTTATTTATTTTTTCATATTGAAAAGAAACTCATCTGTACTTGTATTCCACTAGCTCATCTGTAACATGTTATATATGGACCGCTGTCGCTGGTTTACAATTTCACAGAGATTGAAACGTTCGAAAGGTATCCAATGCTCTTAAATATTTTCTGGTGTTAACTTCAACATTGTTCACCGTTAAAATATGGGTTGAGTTTGGTGGTAACTCTGTATTTTTTTAAACCCGGTAAGATAGCAACGTGTAACGATAGAGTCTAAAAGAAAAATCATTCTGGCAATTACATCTCGAATGCAATGTTTACGGATTTTGAACAATAAATGATAGCCTTGTCTTAATGATAAAATAAATCAACAAGTAAGATGCTGCATCTAATATAATCAAGTGCACAGTATATTACGTAAGTAAAGTTTAATAAAACATATAAAGTCTATCATCAAATTTGCATATTTTTGTATTCTCTAAAGGTAGAACTCTCTATACGAAAATATGCAACTTTCAAGATAAACATTACACTCAACCAGCCAATTGAATGACTTCGAATATTATTAATGTCAATCTGATTTAATAGATTGTCAGGTAAATAAATTGATTTTCTTATTGACTTACGCTTGGGTATATTTCGGTTGCCTCCCTTGTGACCAACCTAACGTCTTTATTGATCAAATTCACGCCCGCTTTGACCAGATTTGACGTAAACGAATCATTATTATTATATCGCTTAGTTCTAATGTTGTTCAATGTTATCTGTTAAGCTGACAAATATATGATTATCGACTACCATCTCAGATTGATTATTGGTCTGATTTATTATTGACTTAAAAAGTTTAAGGACTTATTTTAAATCGTTTTGATAACTCACTAGAAAACCTATTTACATTACAATAACAGATGGATTAGTCCATTTCCTACCTTCTCCATTATTTAAGTGCTATGACGAAATTTGGATTCGCAATTAACGTTAAATATTATCACAGAATCTATATAAAGGAATAAGAATCCTATGATAAATTATATTCTATTTAATTTGTGTCAGTTGCAAAGAGGATATTAGAGTTTATTGAAATCCAAATTTAGCAATTTCCTTAGAACTTCGTTTCGGTGCCGCCTTGCGATGTCACAAGAATATAGAAGCTCTGACTCACAGAAATTATTTAGAATATACGTTGTTCTTACGTCATTACAAACAGTTTTTATTATGTATTTTAATGTTAAACAGAAAATTTATAATCTCATTAGATTTCGAAAAGGTCCAAATTTCAAGTTTCGATTTGAGTGAGGCCTGTGCTTATCATATCATCATCACATGAACAGCCTTTAATAGTCCACGACTGAACATAGGGCTCTCCTTATATATGAGGTTTTGACCTACTATACCACAATATAAATAGGGATGGTGACACTCCGTATTCTTAATTCGTCACTTCACGGACTCTACCCAAAAAAAACTACTCTAGAAAAAAAATCCAACGGTTGAAAGTCAGCTGATAAAAATTTCATTTGACATTCTAATTACACTTGATACGTTTTAGTTTTTAAACGTACTTTTATACCTACATAAACGACTCCTCAAAGTAAACACTTGCAAATGAGGTTATGGTAAACAAAGTTTTTTAAATAATATTTATTCTATGATTCAGTTCAAAACAAGTAACTACTACTTTTAACGAAAGATGCCATTTAGAATTAAAATTTGAAATTTTTCTTATCGTCGAATTCTACGTTTTTAAATGCCCTCAATTAAAAATATGTCATAAAATCGTTCATTCGACTTATCCGAAACATGCAGACGATTTTACATCTTACTTATAGACCATTCAAGAATTCGCTGATTTCAAAAAATGCTCAGGTGTTTTATTCCTTCGCGATTTTAGTACAAAGATATTCTTGAGAAAAGTTCGTTTTCGATTATAATAAAAAGAGCAAAGATTTTTCAAAGATCTTAATTTATAAAATGTACCTATTCAAAGGTCATCTTCATAAAACTATAAATTTTTACGTTGTCAAAGACCAAGGTAAAATACAATATTACGATTAAAGGCATCTAATTTCTACAAAGGTCTTATTTACAAAAAAAAAAGCATAAAAATTTCTTCTCATTGAGCTGCACGTTTATTCAAATAATTAACAGTAATAATAAAACATCGTGATATATACAATTGACATAATTCTGTATGTTAGACACTATGTGCAACCTATTGTTTATATTTAAATAACTTTGCTTTATTTTAAATCCATGTCTTATAGCTTATAAGTATAGTAAGTTCTATATTTTGTAACCGGACCTTCGCTTTCTTAAGTTGTAAATGTACCATTCTGTTCTCTATAGAATGGTACATTTATTCCTTCTCACAAATAATTCTTATATAGCAAAATCCCTATCTAGTTGTATTGGGCCTCTGATTTTCTGAATAAAAGTTTTTATGAAACAACATAAAAGTTGATAAAAATAAGTTGAAAAAGTTGATAAAGTTGATAAAGATAAGTTGATCAAAATTAATAATTAATATACCTGGTAACCATATAATGATTAAGTATTATATATTTATTTACCAATCAACAAACCAAAAAGTATCTGTGAATAAACGTTATCGAGATTTAAAAATAATATTTTAGTATTGCAATTATCATAAACACATTTGTTATCTTCCAATGCCTTCTCGGCAATATGTTAATAATAATAAAAATATTAAACTAATTTATAGTAACGTTCGTAGTATAGTAAAGTTCATAACATTATATAGTAGAATAGCTAAATTCGTTTATTTAGTATTAGTCTCTGACGGTACGCTAAGGATGTAAAGTCTTGCGTCACATACGAGCATGGCACTTGCAATATGGTTTTAAAAGTGCAGTTCTAGCATATTGCAGTAAGTGCAATTGTGCCTTAAAATTTACTTAAAACTTTAGCACGTTAAAATAAAAAATTATCTTATTTTTTACAGGTATGATGTGGCAACCAAGTGTATTAATCTTGACAGTACTTCTAACGCAAGCTTATGCAGTAAGTACTTTTGCTATCACTTTTATACTATACGCGTACATTTACTGTACTATACTTTTATACTAAACATGAACGATATTTTTGTTTAAGATAAATTTATCATGTTTATTTTAATAGTATTAATGCTCTACCAGCTTGATGGCAGTTTTATAGACAAGACGCCACTTTTAAGGTCTACCGCCATTGACAATCCAATTCCAATAAATGCAAGCGGCTGGATTGAATAAACATGCGGGTTAATAGCAGCGCGGTTGTATACCTTGATTGATGCGGTAATAATTATAACTGTTTATTTAACTACTTCACCAATTTACTACATAATGGGGATAAAAAGTACAAAAAACGTAAATAGAATCTTCACCCATTCACGCCGTTCGCCGTTGTCACTTACCACAAATTTATTATAGTATTTCTATGCCTAATTTCAACAACTATATCTTTCATAAACATCAAAATACTAACCTAACCTTAGCAAGCCTAATATTGACTCAGTATAAGTTTCAAAGAATTATGATAATAATGAATAGACTATAAAAAATATTTAAAATATGCTAGTAGGAGTTAATGGACAAGAAAATTTATAGCTTTACGTTTATATCAATTAAATGTTTTTAGTGTTTAAATATACATCGAATATAATTATAATTGGTTTAATACTATTTGTAAATATATAACATGTAATTATAAAATGTTGTATGTTGATACCATACCTGACGTTATAATTGGCCACGTAAAGCTCAAGGGGTTGTGATCTCGGACTCCTGTTGCAGAAAATAAATTCACATAGTCAAAGAGATACTTTATTTTTATTTTACAAATTGTTATGTTTACCATTTTTGTGCTTCTAATAGTTTTTTTTTGTTTTAATAAAAAAAACATGTAATTTTAAATTAAATACTTTGTACTATGTATGTTATGTAAATATTACATTTTATAGAAATAGATAGAAAAAAAACATCTTATAAATATAACTGTGTATCTAAGATAGTAGGGATCATGAACAGTAGTAAAACATGGAGTTAGAGCGACTGCGGCAGCTGTCGTTCTCAAGAGACAATAATGTTGTTGCAAGGTATAATATGAGTGATGATGTTCTTTAACTTTTTTAAAATAAAATCTTGTGTTTTAATGCTCTACGTATTTTTAACAACATTAAACGAAATTTTCGTTGTTAATCTAAACTAACCAGAAATATCATAAACATTAACTGCGCAGGATGACGAGATCTGTACACTTTGTGTTAATTTAACAGTGTCCAATGTGATTTTCGAAAACAGAATATTTCAGATGGAAGTTTTATTATGGAGAATTTTGATCAAATCTTTTTCGAAAAAAGCAATATAAACGCACAATACACTCAAAAATATTATTATTATTACATAGAAAACGAATCTGTAGATATACTGATAGATTTACTCGTTCAAATTCTGATTACCTCAGCTTTATTAGAAATAAATTATAGTTATCATTTAATTTTGCTTTTTTAGTCATTTACTGAAGATTATTTTCTCATATAAGACTAACAAGTAATGTGATGGTACCTCAAATAACCCTAGCCTAAGTAAAGCAGTTTTCAGCTATTAAACACGTAGCCAGCTCCCCTCCCAGTGGGGAAGGTCTAACGCACCTCCAGATCCACGTTAGGCTGTAAGACGCGACCCTGACTCTACATCTTTCCACTGGCTTTTTAACGTTCGAATAAACAACAAGATATCATAATCATAATCAAGTCTAAATAAAATAATTAAATACATTGCTATTGGTTGTGCTTTGCTTATCAGACTTCCATTCATTGTATGCTTAAGCTTAGAGTAAGTCAATCAATTTCTACAACTAAATGGTCAAGGCCACGTCAGACACGTGAATACCGCTCGTCTGGTGTTGCATTATCCCCTATGCTACCGGACACAACGCGTGCGCCAACGGCGGACTCGATCTCCACCAATTCATCAACAGCATCGCGCCTTCCCGTAAATCGACCACAGGATCCGCCCATTAAATTAATTATGATGTGGTTAATACATGCCATGTGCTTGAGTGAAAGCACACGGCATCTATTAATCACATCATAAATACTCCACAATAACGGGTCACCAAAGAACAACCGTATGGCAAAAACAGCGGGCTGGGTGTCATCCCTGGGTGGCCTCACATCAGCTATAAATCGATTCACGACACTGAAGAGACCTATAAAGGGTCATTAATCATTCTATCACATTCAAAGGTACCATAACCAATACCAAATGCTTAAGCTTATTTAACAGGGACACTACATCTAATTACTCAACTATTACTACGTTACTCAGACCGGAATTTAAATTTGCATAAAGTAATCCTAAAACATAATAACCAATAAAGACTCACCTAGCTGTCCTCAACATTCGATATATTTAACTTACTCAATATATTTAGCTGCAATACGCACAACCGAGCACGTTCAGCTTTTGAAAATTAACCTCTGCCTCCTAGCTCCCAAGACCGACTGTATTGTCCAATACCTCAAGACCAACTGCCTGTTCCTTATTCACTATCGTTCCCAAAAGGTCTCCTATCTAAGGGCTTTTCTCACGCTTATTCGTCTGCTTTCTTGCACGTGTTTTAATTGCTATGGTGGACCCTTGGCAATCCCTTTTTTATGGTATTCGTCTTAGGAACGCAATAAGTCCTTTGTTCATAATCATTCACTTCGCAATGCAACTTTCTCAATATGTCTTGTGTAAAATAGAATTTATGGGAAGTTTTATAATTACGTGATTGTAGCACTATCACAGTAAATAATATATGCTTGCAAGCATCTTATTACTTAGCAAAAGATGTTACCGCATTTTTAGGTATGGAAAAAGCCGGTAATCCCGAAGATCCTGATTAGGAGAATCAACCAAATTGATCAAATTATTGTATTGTCATCGATCCTTGATAAGTGTGCGAAGTTTAAATTTAAATAAACGTTTAGAAGTGGGTCAAAATCACATGAGAAGATTCCGTTACATACATACATGCATATATATGTACATACTAATCTAATAATGGCGTGTTAAGAAGTAGAGTGTCTGTCCGTGTGGTGACGGATTAAGAATACGGAGTGTCACGACCCCTATTCGTCCCGTGTGTGTCGTAACAGCTGACTAGGGGGGCAAACTATACCTGGTTCCCGGGCTATTAGTACCCGAGACGGCGTGCGGTTTTGGTCGGTTCGAGTCCGACATGCCACCGATAGGTGGTATCCGAGGGGATTTCCGCACGGAAAAAAAAAGGGTCCCAAACTATGCAGGTCAACAGCACTGAAAAGAGAAGGAAAACTTGACACAAACCCTTTTTTTTTTTTTTTTTTTTTTTTAACGTGTGGAAATCCCCTAGGACCGTCACCCCTCCGGGGTTTGCGGCGGGGTGGTGTGTCGGACTCGGACCGACTAAAACCACACGGTGTGCCACTCTGCGCCTGTAACAGGAGGGATCCGGGAACAGCTGTTGTTAAGACATCCGGACCCCTCCTAGCGCCAGCCCGCTCCTGGTGCGGGCTCCGTCTCAATATAGATGTTCCAACACAAACCCTATACCAACCCGTCGGGCCAGCGTGGTATAGTAGGCCAAAAACCTCCTTTCTAAGGAGAGGCCCATGTCCAGCAGTGGACTATTAAAGGGTGTTGATGTGTAGAAGTAGACTTGATCCGAGTACAAGAAAAAACTATTATAGAATAAAATTCTTTGTACTTTGTATTTGTAAAAGGGTGTGTAAGTCATGACTTCTACATGACCAGGAGAGCAGCGCATACTGCTGTGTCAGTACGTGTCAGTGTTAGAAAAATTGTTCTGTCAATACTTCACCATAATTATTCATAAGAAATAAACGAATATTTCAGTAATATTTGATTTGTTTTTGGTTATATTATTTCATTGATTTTAAGGTTTCTATTTTCTTCACTAGGTGTTTATAGCACAAATCAGCACCGATTACCATTGTCTGCTACCTGACCAGAGTGACCTTTTTCGTTCTATCTGTTGAACACACAACAACTCATTTGAGTTGTCATCTTATCTATTTATATAAAATGTTAAGTTCTTTTGTGTAAGCTTCGAAAACTCGAAAAGCTTAACACCGATTGAGCTAAAATATTGACACAATATAGGTTCAACCCGCTTCAAAGATAGTTTTTATAATATAAAAATAACATTTATGTTATATTATTTTTAAAATAATTGTATTTCAAAATGTTAGAAACAGTTATTTTTAAACACACTTTGTAACTTTAGTGCCGAACAAACACGTCCAATTAAAGAAACAATTAGCAAAAATAAGATTATGCGAAGGGAAGTTTTTAAAAGTGATATAAGACTAGGCAACAAACTCTTCAAAGGCATTTTGTACTGCCTCTCGGAATTGAATTTTTTACCCACTAAAAAGTTGTCTAAATTTTGGAAAAATTAATAGTCGGTAGGTGCAAGGTCTAGTGAGTATGGCGGATGAGGGAGAGCTTTCAACCCCAGCTCTTGCAGCTTGGAGACTGTCTGTTGCGCAGTATGGGGTCGCGCGTTGTCGTGAAGGAGCAGTGGGGACGACCGATTGACCAAAGCTAGACCTATTATATAGGATAGAGAGTGCAGTGTAAAGCTACATCTCTACGTAACACCAAGGGATCAAGCCGATCGGAGATCTTTTGTTGTCACTTTTCTTTTTATACGGTCCAGAGGGAGAAGCTGCTTCTGGGTGCCCCTGCATGGAGTATCTACAGTGCGCTATCCGATCAATCTAATTTTCTAAACTAAACGTTTCCAAGCCCCTTAACTCAGAAACTAACAAATAAAAAAAAAACAGAAATAGGAAATTGAATATTGACTTGTACGTTAATTTAAAACCTGTAAGAAGTCTTCGATCCTCAAATAACATTGCAAATTGCTTCCATATTGTGCACACAAACTTACTCACCACACTAGTTCAAATTACACTAAGTATGCTCGTAGATGTACTTCTTTATTGCAATTAAGTACCCATTATTTAACTC